AGTGATAACTTTTGTTTGACTCTCTCTCTATCTCTTATAAAGTTTGAAATCGGATATGAAGGTGAGATTAAAAAAACTCAGATATCCTTTTTATTATCTGTAGATTTGGTCCATACTTCTGCCAGCCTGTAATTGCTGGATTAAGTGACGAAGACAAGCCCTTTATTTGCACGATGGACTCCATTGGAGCCAAGTAAATACTCTCTCTTTTTTTCTTTCTATGTCTATTCTCAACCTTTAGCTTTCTTTTGATTTGAAATTGCACTTAAATTAGTTAGATGGGTTTCTTACTTTCCTTTAATTACAAAATGTGCATCAGACTTGAAGTTGCAGTCTCTGCAACACATTATAATGTTAATTCTCATGGTTTAATGAAATCTGATTTTTGGGGTAGAATAGTTTGTAGGTGTTGGGAATACCATATGTAAAACTAATATGTTGTCAAATTGATCATTCCCAGAGAGCTTGCTAAAGATTTTGTTGTTTCTGGCACGGCATCAGAGTCCCTTTATGGTGCTTGTGAGGCAATGTTTAAACCTGACATGGTATGTTGCTATAATCCATTTACATATGCTTTGTAATCATATTTGGGATTCTAAATTGTTTTGCATTGAGGGAGAAAAATATGCCAAAGTTGCTTGTTTTCTTAATTTTTGAGATTTATTAATCTACCATTCCAATTGGGAGGGTTGGTTTCAGGTCGGGTCAGGTCAGGTCCGTTTTTCAACCGAACTGGTACTTACAATTGAAAATAAAATAATCAGAATAAACGATCTGCTGCTTAGAAGGGCTAAAACTTAGCCCACTGAACTGAAAGTTAGTGGTTAGTCATAGAGTGCTGAACACTGTGTTAGGCCCCCGATTGTGCATACAAATGTTAGGAAGGGTAAGATGGGGAATTGAAGGGTAGGCGGGGTATTGAAGGGTAGGAAGGGAATTTTAATTTAAAGTTAGTTAGAATAGGGCTAGTACGGATGGGGGAAATGGCACTATGTAAGGGGCCCCTTGGGATTGAGGAGGTCAGTCTTTCTCTGTGTAAGGAATAACATTGGCTATAGGGAGAGTTCCCAGACCTCTCGAATTGGCTGGTTTTTGTCAGCCCTTGGGCAACTTGCTTTTGAATATCAAGGAATAGTGAGGAGATACCTCACACACCGTGGCTTTGGCATACAAAAGAAGAATAAATGAAAATGTACACTGATGTAAAAACATATACCCAGAATCCAGAATCATAAAAGAAAAATGAACAAGCATATGCCCGTAAAAGGAAGAGATAGAGAAATAAGTGCACGTGTGTGTGAGAGAGAGTATAGTAGGAAAAAAGAAGGTTTCGGCTACACGTACACCATTACCTCTGGGACTGGAAGAACAGATTAGGGAGGACCAAATTATGTCTTCAAGTTGGAGGAGGCAAATCAGAGAGAATCATTGAATAAAGAGAGAATCAGAGAGAATCATTGAATAAAGAGAGGATGAGAAACGAAGATAATTGTTTGCCTATAGTTAGTGACTTAAATTCTGTATACAAGTCGACTGTGAAGAAGAGATGAAGTGACGTAGAAATCTGCGACTCACGAGAAGAAATCAAGGAGGAAGAGAAGAGAGAACAGAACGAGAGTAAGATATTGAGGTGAAGTTTCTGTAGAGGAGATGGCCAACTTGTCTGAGTTAGAGTATCTGAATGGTTAAACATTTATAGAAAAGTGGCACTGGGCAGTTTTATAATCAGGCGGTTGGATTGACAGTTAGAGGCTTTCTCCTTGGTTGGAAAACATGAAACATTTGAACCTCCAACCTTCCTTTCAACCGACTTACCAAATTTGGTTTTGGTTGGTTTCCCTTGTTTTTTTGATTTCGTCTTGCACCTTTAGTTATCCACTTGTAGGCATTGCTTGTGCAGAGAGCATAGAAAGACAATCACGATAGTCTTGCAGTTTTATAATCTTGTGGAATTGTGCAGTTCAAAGGAATACAGCTAGAGCCCTCTTTTGGAATCTTTGGATGGAAAGAAACAATATAATTTTAGGATAAGTCTTCTTCTTTTAAAAACTTTTGTAATACAGTTCAGTTACACACTTCTTGGTGGTGTTATAGGCATAGAAAACTCTTTTGTAATTACAGCCTCTCATCGGTTTTGCAAGATTGGAGAGCTTTTCTTCATTAGTTCGTGGGAGGGGGAGCCTTCTTCCCCCTGCCCTTAGGCTGTTTTTTTTGTGGCTCTGTGCCTTCTGTCTATAAAATGTTTCTTATCTAAAAAAAAATAATCTTGTTAGAATGGAAAGGCACTGTAGTTGTTTCTTATATGATTGTGCGAAGAGCTGCAAATGATGCTCAAATATGACATCTTAATAGAAGATATATTCTTATTTGGGGAAAAAATCCCGTCATAGTTTTTCTGTGCAAGTGCTCTTACCACATAGTTAACTCTGTCAATTCAATTTTCTATTGTCCAGGAACCAGAGGAATTATTTGAAACCATCTCTCAAGCGCTGCTGTCTTCTGTGGATCGGGACTGTTTGAGCGGATGGGGAGGGCATGTCTATGTTGTGTAAGCCACATATACATATTCTTAGACCTTGCTATTAGATGTTGCTTTTGAGTTTTGCCGAGCACTTAGCATAATTACCTTGGATGAAATAATAATAGTTGTATTAGAAACTGGATGGTCTTTTTGTTTAAAGTTGTGCAATTAATTAACTGTTTTGTAGGTACGCATTATTTAGTCTCCCATTTACCTTTCCAATCTTCTTGATGTTTTCCAATGCACTACCACCCATTCAGTCTATGCTGGATCGTTTTTTATTTGCTCTAGTTAATAATTTGTACCATTATGGATGCCCTTGGATAATTGGATCCACATTCCAAAAGTGTCTCTTTTATTAACCCAATGAATTTTTCTTTCCTTTCTGCCTTACTTTTACCATTTTTTCCTTTCACCTTTCATATTTCTACACCTTTCTTGTCTTCCACTATATATTTGTGATTGAAATTATTCTATCATATGTGTCTTGTTGCAGTACACCGACCGAAGTAAAAGAGAGAATCTTGAAGGGACGAATGGATTGATCTTTCTTCTGATGCATGAAAGACGACTTGTTCAATGAGGGTACTTCCAATTAGACTGCAGCCACGGGCATTGGATGGAGTTCGTGAGTAAAATGCAAGAATATTTTCATGTTGTGCTGAAACTTGTAATCTGCTTTATATATTTGACATGGAATTCGCTTTATCTAGATCTGTCAACATGAAACATGGTTTATGAATCGAAATGTGCCTCCTTGTTGCAAAATTGATTAACTTACCAATTATTCTGTGATGGTAACTTTGCTTATGCACATCCTTTAATTATGATTGGAATTACATTTTGCATCACTTGTACCACATTATATTCTGTCTTGTCAAAACATCATCCATTGAATTGGTTCTCGCACAGCTTCAGCATGAACTAAGGTTATCGACGATGAGAGATCGTCGTGGAATTGCCGAGAGGCAAGGTAAGGATTGCAAGTGTTTTGCTATCTGAATTGTAGGGGGGATGGAGGCATAAATTAATGTTACTTGACATATTTAACTTCCCATTTCTTTGCACAAAACCTGCCTTCTGTGCAAAGAAAACTTAGAACCCATCCTCCGAAGATATATGGGAGGATTTCTAGGCTGAAGAACTCGAACAAGGTGTGAATCTAGAATATTGAAATGCCCTTTAGAGTTGGTTTCCAGTTGCCTTCTAGGAAAGTTGTCTCTCAATCAAGAAACCAGCAAAGAAAACTTCCTCATATATCCTGATCGATGGCTCCTGTGTTGCATTGTTCCTGAAGATTTTGTTCATTTGTTATGGAAGAGCAAGAGGATAAACAACCTCCCCAAAGGATTTCTCTTGCTTATGTGGAACAGGTGAACTCTGACTTTATCATGGCCTTGGCAATGCAGCAGCAGGAGCACGAGAGGGCCTATACGATGCTTGAGACCATCGAAAGTGACAGTGACGAAGACGAAAGTTTTGATTCCAACAGCAACACTGGTCTCGACACCTATGATCCCTTGCAAAGCCAAGAATTTCATTCCCGGTGGGATTTTCTTGCAGACGACGAGGAAACTACCGATGAAGATATGGACGAAGATGTAGATGAAGATGAGTTGGATGATTTCGATTTGGACGAGCTAACTTACGAGGAGTTGGTTGCATTAGGAGAGTTCATTGGAGAAGAAAAGAGGGGCCTACCTATGAACGAAATACCCTCGTGCCTGCACTCAGGCAAGTTTCGAACAATCGAAAACAAAAGTGGAATGGATCGGTGTGTGATTTGCCAAGTTGAATATGAAGATGGTGAAGAATTGGCTGCTCTTCCTTGTGAGCATCCATACCATTCAGAGTGTATAAGCAAATGGCTTCAAATCAAAAGGGTCTGTCCAATATGTGGCACAGAAGTTTCATCCCCCAAGGCCAAGGCTTCTTAAAATGCATAATCTCTTCATAAATTGATTATTGATGATAATTCAATAATATAATATTCATGATTTATTCATTAATTGAAAGGGATATGAACATACCGAACTTCACGAAGAAGATAGGGACCTTTCTTTCTTCATATTTCGATTTTTCGATGCAAATATCTCATTCTAAAGGAAACCTTTTGGCTTAATTCTATTTCAAATTGTTTATTCTGCAACTATTGTGATTAAGTCATTATTTTTTAAGTTATTTAAATCATTGGTCTCAAATTTTAGGCAACTAATATATTCATTTGTAATTATTTCAAAGTATCATAATTTTTTTTAATCATACTTATTATCATATATCTAATATCATTCAACATATGTATGCATCCTCTATAGTTATATTTGTTATAGGTGAAATTATCATATTAAGTTGTCAAATAAATGGGGTCAATCCACCCGATTTGATTACTCGACCGAGCAAAAGTTGGATTCCTGTTTAAGAAAAATAATTATTTTTTTTAGTAAATGTAGGGGTGAAGCGTCGAACTCACAACCTCTTGATTGAAGATTTGTATCAATTATTGATAAATTATAATAGCTTTAACCGTTTAAACAATTGAAAAACATATCAAAAAAATCAAGTAAGTAATACTACTGTATAAAAAACGAGCTAATTATTTAACACAACATAGTGTCATGTCGGATCTCGATTGGATAACGTTAAAATTACGGGAAAAAAAGCATTAACAATAAATTAAAAAGGAAAAAGAAGAAAAACCCAATACTTAATAAACAATAATATATATTGGGTAGGGACCGACGAGAGCAATGACGGCAGAGAACATAGAGCGGCGCCGCCCCTAAGAGATCGACAAAATTTAGGGCGAGAATTGTAGTCAGTGCAAAAAAATAATAATAAAAACATAAAGAAAATAAATAAATAATAAAATTTCAGAATGTGCTACAATTCACTTGGACAAAAATGAGAGAGAGAGAGGAGAGAGAAAAGTCAGAAATGGTTGTCTTTTCTGGACACAACTGGAATTTGATGGGGACATTAGTTTTGCAGCCAAGTTTAAGGTTTTCACATTATATTTATTTTATTTTATTGATCAATTTTTGAGTTATAAAGTTATAATCCCATTGATTTTTGTTATATAGTTGTTTCTTGTTTGTTCCCCACTCATATTGTTCGAGCGTCAATAAAATCATATACGTAATAATTTAATATATGAAAGATAAATAATAATAATCGTGGATGGAGACATTGGAAACTTCACTCTTTCGTTGTTTTGTTTGTGCGGCCATCAATTTGCAACTTTTTCTTTTTTTTTCGTCTCTTTCTTTGTTAAATGTTCATTTTAACTTTTATTTATTTAGTCCCTTTTTTAAAATTAATTAATTATGGACATGAACTTTAAATTACGTTTCTATTTAGTTTATATTGTTGACTTATGTGATATTTTATTAAATAAAATTTTATATTAGTTAATGTAGTAAATAGTTGGATGTACTTGAGGCCGTTTTTTCCTAGGAATCCGAGATTCACATACGACGAACATCTAGATTTCCATGTTTGTTTTGTGGGAATGTAGGATACTCGAAAATTTTGAGATGTCCAGATATCCTAGGATGCTCATATGAGAGGCATCTTATGAGTTTTGTATGTCATTTTGAAACACGACTTTTCAAAATTCTCGTGTCGAGGACATCCGTTTCTTACATTTTTACCCTTCATTTTTTTCTCGATAATTTTAAAGCAACATTTTTTTACAATTAATATACCTATGATATTTTTTTCTTAAAAAAATATAATGTGATAATAGGATAAATAAATTTCACCAAATATTACATAAATTATATGATTGTCGTCTTGAAAAACTATTAAAGTTGAAATGAAATTTATATTAAGTTAATATGAATTAATTTGTTCTATGAAATAACATATATAAAAAAATAAAAATATTAAATTAATTAAAACAAGTCTATTATATTAAATGAGTTTATAAATTATATAAACATGGTATTTTTGGAACATTTTACAATTTTAACACATTCTCGAGAATAAATCCCGTAAAACAAATGTGGCTATCAAAATATTCTCGAATATCCTTATAAATTTTACTATGAAACAAATATGGTAATCTAAAGATGCCGAACATCTAAAATTTTGAGCATTTAAAATTTCATGCATCTATAAATATTTGGCATCTATCTTCCCGAAAAACAAACAGTCTCTTTAAGATTAAGATTAAGGTTGAGAGATAAAAGATGGTAACTGATTTTTTTTTTCCTCTTTTGGCAAATTTTATCCAAAAATTATGTCCATCCCACTAGCTAAACTTTTTTCTTAATGGACAATGCACATCAGCATTTTAATAATCTCCTTGACAAAGACTAAATAGACGTATAATTCAAAATTTGAGGGTTTAATAATTAATTATAGTGTTTCTAAAGTTTAAAATCTGGATGTTAAAGAATACTTGAAGTGAGGGACTAAGAGTATGTTTTGATTAATTTCCTAAGTAATTTTAGACGGTAAAAAGTGTTTTCTTTTTTTCAAATAGAGATCAAAATTGTCAATTTTTTAAAATTACATAACTTTTAAGAGTAAAAAACAATCAAATATTTAAATTCAATTATTTTATAGATAATAATATTTTAAGGAAATCTTTTGAGGATTGAGAAAGGGAAAGCTAATGGACAAGTCTTGGAAATTTGGAGGCAAACCTAACACCTTTCTAACTTCATATAGGCGTGGTTGCAAAATAGTCCAAATTTTGTATTCAATAATAATAACAATCTTTCAACTTCCAAAGCTTAACCAGTGAAGATGCATGCATCTATTTCCATGTTTTTGTGTCCTTTTCTTCTCATTCTTATCTCTACCAAATTCTTTTTCTACGTTTGGTTCTTTTAGCTAGGCCTCAGAAGTCTCTACTCGACAACACAAAGACAAGAAGCTCGAGTACGATAGAATAGTAAATAAAGCCTATCGCAAAAAGATTCAAGGTAGATTGAGAAGCTAATAATCTCTTTGGATTCAAGTAGAAGGAGATAAATAGGAACGAAATGAAATGAGGCGTTTTCTTGCCAGTTTCATTTATGTTTGGTAATAAAATAAGACCCAAGATTCCTTCCTAGAATTCAAATCTAAAATAATAAGGATTGAATTGAAGATATCTAATAAAGACACAGTTTAACCGTAAAAGGGCCATGTAATCATTTTTTTATGAACTTTTCAAGCTAAACAATTGGTCGAGGCTAATAAAATTTTAAGATAGAAATTGACAATTAATTTGGTATTTTAATAATATATTTTTTTATATGTAAATTTGAATTCACAGTCTTACTGTTTTAATAACTTATAATTATGTTTAAATGGACTATTTTAAAATTTTTTACGATAATTATGAAAATGAGTGTTTTGAAGTCAAACCTGGAAAAATAACCATTACTGTTTTTGTCCACATTAATGCGAAAAGTAGTGTTTTTTTCATTTTTTTTAAATTTTTTTAATAATAAAGTTGGGTTAGAAATTTGAGTTTGTTTCAGATTGGGGCGGCCACTATCGGAACTCATAGTCATTAATTATTATCCTTCACCCCCAAGAAATCTTCTCGGACACACATATTCCATAAGGCATCTTGTGGGCTCCACCAAGTGGTTGACCTAAACCAATAAAAGGATTTACTCAACCCATTACAAACTACAACTTATATTTCTTATATGAATATAATATATTATAAATCATACCGTATTGTAAAATAATAATTTTACAAAATTTGTAACCACCACGTTAATAAATTAAAACACACTTGAACACGTTTTCTACCCTATTTTTTGTAACGTGTACTTTTTTTTTACTTCTGAACACAGGAGGACTCGAACTTGAATCTTGGGTGTCAACACCCAAACCTCTTGCCACTGTACCAATCTCCGAGGGAAAAAAATGGACTCAATTTTTCAGGGTGAAAAGTAAGAACTGGATAAAAGAAAGCTTTTAAATGTTAAATCGAAATTCTAAATCAATTTTGGCGGCCAAGTAAATATTTTTCGCTTGACCACTTGCGAGAATTTGATTCGAAATATTTGTCCATTTTTTTATTTTTATATATTGTTTTTATGAAGATACTACATGTCAATTTTTAATTGATAAAACAACAGGGGGAATATACCTGCCTTTTTTTAACCTTAAAATAATAATAGAAAGATGATGATCATCCATTAATAAATCTTTATTGGAATTTAGAAAAGAAAAATACCGATAAAGATGAAGGTGAAGTTCGAGGAAGGTCTGCCCCAGCACAATGACGGCAGCGGCTGACGAGGAATTGGTGGGCTGACGTGTACTTCAAAGCCACCGTTAAAAAGTCGACTAAATAACCAATAAACTAGAACCAGCGTTGAACCCCGCGATTTATGCCAATTCCACGGCGGTTTTTTGGTCCAACTCTTTCACTGAAACTATTCAATTAAAATATCAATTAATTCCCATATCCACCCTGGTCCATGGCGCGGCTCGAGGTATTAACCAGCCAAATTTTTTATCAATATTCCACTAACAATTACCAAAAATAAATAAATAAATAAAATAATAGTGTTGTTCAACTAAAACTAAATAAACAAATAATATTAGTGTTATTTAGTCAAAACTATTTTGGTGATCAAGTGAACCATATAAATATAAGTAGACTAAATGTATGTTTGAGTTTTTATATTTTTAAATTCTTCTTTATATTTTAACTTTTTTTTCAATTGTAATATTTTGGCCCGTGGATATATTAAATACGACTAGAAATAAGTGTAGATAGTATAATGTTTAAGAAATGAAAAAAAAAATAGATGAGGAATTAAGCACGGAGGAAAAGTTTTTTTTCTAATTTCTAAAAAGTTGATAAGAATTTCGACATTTTATCTTATTTAGTAGTTAGATTCCTTCTTTATATCCACCTATGTCTTTAGGCGGCTCGTGGTATTAACCAAACAAAATATGTTATCAATATTCGACTAACTACACACTTATAAAAATTATTATTTAAGTATTGAATTAATATTAGTATTATATTTGTTAAAACTGTTATRATAATGAAGTTAAAGGATTACAATATGAGATATAAAAATAAAAATGGGTAGAGTATTAAAATGTAGTTCATAAACTTTTAAACCATGTTTATTATTGCTATTATTTTGTCTCGTAATAGATTATCTAAATACTCATCTCAAGTAGTTTCAATATATATTCACGTCAACATTTGAAGCTACCGTTAAAAGAAAAATATTTTTTTAAAATTGATAAAAATAAATATTTTGAAAATTTGGCGATGAAAAAGAGAATAAACCTAAAAACTAAACAATCAAATGGTATATTTTAGAACTTCAATCACCAAAAATCTTAAAACTTGGTAGAAATTGGTAGAAACTAAAAATGCTATTGAAACCATATTAATAAAAAAATTAATTTAAAAATATGGAAAAATTAATCGATAAGTTTAAACATTTAATTTAAAAGAAGAGAGTCTTCAGAAGAAAAAAAAACCAAAAAAAAAATAAAAAAAAGAGAGAGAAAAGAGAAAAAACGAATATCGGCCGATTTTGTTTTTAATACTTTTAATAATAAAATTGAGATCGCAGTTCAGAACACATTTTTCCGCAGTTATTTGAGTAATGGGAATCTGCGGGTAGTGCTTTAATCCAAAACAAATTGCGTAAGCAATGACAAAATCACCTCCATGCGTGTCCATTGGTCGCCCATGCACTTCACGTCCTCATCCGCCACGTGTCATGGCG